CCGAAGCCAGGGTTTTCGTGTTCACATTCAGATCCTATAGCCGGGACAACCAAGAAATTGTTCCCTTGCTGGGGGCAAAATAATAATTTTAAATAAATTAATATGTGTCCATTAATGTTAAAAAAAAAAAAAAATCTATATCCATTAACTTGAATTCATGAAAATCTTAATCCCTAAAATGTACTAATCTCTAGGTTTCTATCACCCTATCACAGTAATAGTGAACATGCTTTACAAAGCACTAATAGCATCTAACAACAAATCATCATCACCCAAATTGAGAAACTCTGGAACTGCTATAAAAGACAAATTGCAGCATCTGATCTTGTTTGGGTTTTCTCATTGGTTGGGGAAACGAGAAATTGGGTTTCTTGTATTACAGTGAACTAAAGAAATATCAGATTTCTAATACTGGTAGACGACAGAGAACAAGAAATTTCTAGGTTCTACAACGGTAAGAACCCAGAGATCTCCGGGTACGTTCACCCATTGTCAAAGAACCCAGGTGTCACATAGAACTTTGCGCCGGCCTAAAAAACCCGTCGTTATTTTGCGCATTGCCACATCGGTGGAAACCTTGTAGAAGGATAGCAGACGGAGAGAAAACCAGAGAAAATAGAGGAAGCCTAGGGAAGAAGATGAAGAATCGATAAATTTGCAATTTTTGTATTTTGTAACAAGTTTATTTATTTAATTATATGGCAACGTGATTTAATTTTTTGAGTTGGACCAACATGGATGCTTGCATTGTAATCATGACTCTCCTAATTCGACTATATCATATCTAATTTTTAATTTGAGATACGAAATTTAATTGCTTGATTCTTTTTTTTTTTTTTAAATATCATCTAGTATTTGTTGATTATCACTTAAAATTTTAAAATATATGAAAATAATGAGAAGTTAAGTGTGAAAAAAAAAAAAAGGAGTTATCACTTATCCAAATTATAATGTAAGATATGTTATCTAAAATGTGATTCGTATATAAACTGAGATTTGAAGATATGATTAAAAATGAAGAAAAATATGCGCACACCTAATAATTTTTTGTGTAAAACACAGTTGAATGCTTTAATGTTTGGAAATTTATTCTGCTTTTATTGTTTTGGTTTTGATTAAGTGAACTTAAAAAGAAAATGGATGAAATTGCAATGCTCAAAAACCCTTGCACTCAATTTGAATAAAATAAGAAAGAAGCAACCACAATCACGGCAAATTAAAAGTTGAGGCACTAAGTTGAAGAAATTCAAAACTTGGTTGGAATAATTTTAAAGTTTCTGGACTGAATTGTTTAATCTTAAAAAGTTTTATGAGAAATTAGAATTAAATAAAAGACAAGCTTGGCTTTCAAAATTTTGCGCAAGTAGATTAAACAAGATTAAGACTAATTAATCAAAATAATT